CTGTATGTCAGGAGGCAGGAAAATGATTTGTGACAGAGTCGAGGTCACTGGTCTAATAACATGTTAGTGCAGGACTGTGGTGAAATTGGGCTGAGGTAATGGCATTCAATTTTGTTCCACACTTCTGCTTGAGTGGTTGTTCTAGTAAAACCCTTTAAAAATTTCTCCCAATAAGTTGTTCTCATCTGATTTTTTAGTTCACGAGAGGCTCAGTTGGCTTTGAGGAATGCCAGGAAGTTAACACTGGATTGGTTTTGCTTATAAGTGTTGTAAGTTGTTGTATTTTCTCTCCTCTGAAGAGGATAGGGTCATGTGTCCACAGAGTGGTTTAGTGCCGCCCCCCTTCCTCCTTGACTTAACCCAGATGGTATAATAATTATGTGGTAATGACATTTACAAGATCATAACAAAATTCATCCACTGTCTGACACACACACACACACACACACACAGACGCTCTAAGCCGACGCTGAGCCATGTTGACTGTCACACGAATTATGACCGTCTTTGTTGTTGCTGGTGATGGTGGTAATGGTAACATGGCGATATTTACAGCCCCACTATCACCTACCGTCTCTGCTGTTACTGCTGCTGATATATGATATGTATCGATGACAGCGATGCTAATATTCTCCAACTTCCGAAGAGTCTGCGAACGAAATTGTGTGGAGTAAGAGTGTACAGTATAATACCTCGGTACCCTTGAATTTATTGATTACTTCCGTGTTGACATGTTGGTCGTCACAGCTGGCGGCGTTCCGTTGGTTGTTGTTTCTGTTTGTTCTACTCTCGTGTAAACTAATGATGCGTGAGACAGGGAATGGACTTAAAGGAAAATTTACTCGATACAGAAACGGGTTTTGTATATACGTATTCTGGTGTTCTGTGATAAATGGGATTTTTTTGTGATAATATTGGTTTTATGTTTGGTTGTGGCAGTTGCTGTATACATCACTTATTCACTGACGGAGAAAGAGTTTTTTAGCGCTAAGATTCACTCATATTTATGGCACTTTTACTCATTCATAACTTCAATACATCACCAGTTGACGTTATTTTCACATACCTGTACCGCCGGAGGTGTTGGTGTCCCCCATGGCACTAAAGGGGTGTTCCTGGACCCACGTGTATGTACAGTAGTGATGGAACTCTAAACCTCTCATATCATCAGCTGCATCGGGCGAGGATTATCAGGATGTGAAATAAGAAATAAAGTGGTCGAAAGATAAACATATTTCTGGAAACTGAGACCTCGATATTATACTGTTTATAAAGTGATTGATGTTTTGTTGGTATTGGCCACATATTTTGACAGTGTGTGTGTGTGTGTGTGTGTGTGTGTGTGTGTGTGTGTGTGTGTGTGTGTGTGTGGTGAGGTACGCCATGACAGAATAGTTTTAACCCTTCATCCTGTTTATTTTTACGGGTGAAAATATTCCCAATATGCCGGACAATGTTTTTTTTTTTAATCCCTTTAATTATTATAGTGGACATTGTATCCTGTGTAGAGAGAGAGAGTATAAAGTGAAGGTCGCCCCCATAAAGTGTTAATATTTCACCTGACTGACATTATTTTCTCCTTTGTTGTCTCTGCTGGGGGAAACCGGCGCCTGAAACCAATGGCATCTACACCATTTCTGTAGTAACCTGAACCACTTTTAACCTGTAACAATATTTATCACGGTTCCACCCCACAATACATTCAGCTGTACGAAACATAACTAAAATCCTTACATAACGAAGTATTTACCCTAACACTCACTCACCAGCACCCTGACACTCACTCACCAGCACCCTGACACTCACTCACCAGCACCCTGACACTCACTCACCAGCACTGCACACCACTCACCAACACCGTGACATACTCACCAGCACCGTACCACCACCAACACCGTGACACTCACTCACCAGCACCGTGACACTCCACTACCAGCACCGTGACACCACTCACCAGCACCGTGACACCACCACCAGCACCGTGACACTCACTCACCAACACCGCCGTGACACTCCACTCACCAGCACCGTGACACTCACTCACCAACACTGCACCACCACCAGCACCGTGACACTCCACCACCAGCACCGTGACTCACCACCAGCACCGTGACACTCACTCACCAGCACCGTGACACTCACTCACCAGCACCCTGACACTCCACTCACCAGCACCGTGACACCACTCACCAGCACCCTGACACTCACCTCACCAGCACCGTGACACTCCACTCACCAGCACCGTGACACTCACTCACCAACACCGTGACACTCACTCACCAGCACCGTGACACTTCACTCACCAGCACCGTGACACTCACTCACCAGCACCGTGACACTCACTCACCAACACCTGACACTCATCACCAGCACCGTGACACTCACTCACCAACACCGTGACACTCATCACCAACACCGTGACACTCACTCACCAGCACCGTGACACTCACTCACCAGCACCGTGACACTCACTCACCAGCACCGTGACACTCCACTACCAGCACCGTGACACTCCACTCACCAGCACCGTGACACTCACTCACCACCAACACCGTGACACTCACTCACCAGCACCGTGACACTCACTCACCAGCACCGTGACACTCACTCACCAGCACCGTGACACTCACTCACCAGCACCGTGACACTCACCACCAGCACCCTGACACTCACTCACCAACAACACCGTGACACTACCACCAGCACCGTGACACTCACTCACCAGCACCGTGACACTCACTCAACACCACACTGTGACACCACTCACCAGCACCGTGACACTCACTCACCAGCACGCACACCACTCACCAGCACTGACACTCACTCACCAGCACCCTGACACTCACTCACCAACACCGTGACACTCCACTCACCAGCACCGTGACCCCACCAACACCGTGACACTCACCACCACCAACACCGTGACACCCACTCACCAGCACCATGACACTCACTCACCAGCACCGTGACACTCACTCACCAGCACCGTGACACCTACTCACCAGCACCCTGACACTACTCACCAGCACCGTGACACTCACTCACCAGCACCGTGACCTCACTCACCAGCACCGTGACACTCACTCACCAGCACCGTGACACTACTCACCAGCACCGTGACACTCACTCACCAGCACCGTGACACCTACTCACCAGCACCCTGACACTCACTCACCAGCACCGTGACCTCACTCACCAGCACCTGACACTCCACTCACCAACACCGTGACACTCACTCACCAGCACCGTGACACTCCACTCACCAGCACCTGTGACACCACTCACCACCAGCACCCTGACACTCACTCACCAGCACCTACACCACCAGCACCCTGACACTCACTCACCAGCACCTACACCACCACCAGCACCCTGACACTCACTCACCAGCACCCTGACACTCACTCACCAGCACCCTGACACCACTCACCAGCACCCTGACACTCACTCACCAGCACCCTGACACTCACTCACCAGCACCGTGACACTCATCACCAGCACCGTGACACTCACTCCACCAGCACCGTGACACCTCACTCACCAGCACCGTGACACTCCCGCTCACCAGCACCGTGACACTCACTCACCAGCACCGTGACACTCACTCACCAGCACCGTGACACTCTGCTCACCAGCACCGTGACATCTGCTCACCAGCACCGTGACACTCTGCTCACCAGCACCGTGACACTCGCTCACCAGCACCGTGACACCTGCTCACCAGCACCGTGACCCACCACCAGCACTGCACACCCACCACCAGCACCGTGACTCACTCACCAGCACCGTGACACTCACTCACCAGCACCGTGACACTATCACCTGTGGCCCTATGTTTGCTTCAGCTCAGTGGTAAATCGAATTGTATACTGCCTCGTTCATGAGTGACGTGGTGGGGGGGCGATGGACTGGGTTATAGTTTTGTCGTGATTGTTGTTGTTGTAGGTTAGTTTATTGTTGTTGTTGTAGTGGGATAGTTATTGTGTCTTGGTGGTTGTTGTATGATAACTGTTGTGTGGTGGTGGTGGTTGTTGTTGCTGTAGGGTAGTTATTGTGTCGTGGTTGTCATGACACCTGACCAAACCACACAACTACGGTGACTCCCCCTTCCCCCACTCCTGATGGCCTGTTATTGGCTTTTTAACCACGGGAAAAAGTTACCTCTATTTTTTTTTCAATTTCTACAGCGAGATTGTTTTTTTTATTTAATTGTCTAGGTTCATGTGTTTGTATATATGTCAGCCTGTGTTATTTCATCCAACAATATCCTAAAATATATCAATTATTACATGAAAACAATATAAACGGTCTAGGTATATACATTGTTTATATTCATATATGCTACGAAGATTAAGTGCATGCATATTTATTTTTTTCTGTACAATAATTTTGCTGATGTTGGTGATATGTCAATGTGATTTGTTCTAAAGTATTGCAATTTTGTGGCCTTGGGAATTTTCACGTTGCAGTGAGTTTCGTGAATATTTAAGAGTTACGTCACTGACCACTAGTGAATGTGTTGTAAGGGGTCACATATGTATTGATTTGTTATATCCTTATGTGTATTATTGTTAAGGACTTGCACATTAGATTCCACCATTACTTGCTACCATTGTAATAACCTTTCACCATTATTTAATACCATTGTAATAAGCTTTCACCATTATTTAATACCATTGTAATAACCTTCCACCATTATTTAATACCATTGTAATAACCTTCCACCATTATTTAATACCATTGTAATAACCTTCCACCATTATTTAATACCATTGTAATAACCTTCCACCATTCTTAATACCATTGTAATAACCTTCCACCATTCTTTAATACCATTGTAATAACCTTCCACCATTATTTAATACCATTGTAATAACCTTCCACCATTATTTAATACCATTGTAATAACCTTCCACCATATATACTGTACTACCATAATATATACAATATTATCATAACGCCTCACAGTATTACTAAGCCCTGTGTCCCTGGTTTTACAGCTCGGTGAAGGAGGGCGGCGTGGTAGTGTCTCGGCCGCCGCTGGTCAGGAGCCGTACGCTACCGGCCATCGTCGTGCCCGGAGTCACAGTCCTCCAGACAGCACTCGATGCTTCCGACCGACGAGGTAAAGTACTCACATTGTCGCACATTTTTATAATTATAGTTATACCTTATTACACTCAGCCTGTTGTACATTTTTTAATTACATCTTGGTGTACTCTACAAACACATACTGGTGAACTGTATGTAATAGCTATTTGTCCGTTTGTTTTAATGTCTTGTCTTTCTTTGAGTATATGTGTGTATGGAATACGACGTGAATCTCTTAAATAGTTTTTGTTAATGCCTGGTTTACATGATCATACTCCTTAAACCTGATACATACTGATGAGCTACATGTATAGGCTGCTGTATTATATCCCATATTTATCTTGTGGCTACGTAAAAGTGATGTGAACGACTATTTTATATGCCTGGTCTTCAAGCTAAATACATTCTGCTGACTTGTATGTGTCCCTTATTTTCTTAAGTCTCTCTATCATGTGTGTATATAAAGCAAAGTTAATTAGATGTTAGTGTTCAGTGCCTGGCTGACAGCTTTGAGGGGACGTCAGCGAAATATTGTATCTTATTATCACAACACAGATGAACGTCTCTGGTCTTGTCCTCATTCTTGTTGTGTCGCCACTTAATCGGTTCTGACCTCCTTCATACCTTGTTGAGAGGCATCCCCAGGTCTCTCTCTCTCTCTCTCAGACACGGGGAGAGAGAAAAAGAAATTACCCTAATATAGACTGCTCACTTTACCCCAGAGGCCAGCTGATGTTTGCTTGAATTATATAGAGTTACATCAGGGCCTCCACGTCACGATTTACCATTTTTTTTTTTTTTCTTCCATCTGTGTTGACCTTAACCATTACCACAACACTTCATGGAGTAACATGGCAAGGGGCAATCAAAAGGTTCTTCATCGTCCATGGAAATTTTCCCCGTTTGGACAGCTTAATTGCGTGGGGATTAACCGTAAAAATAATGAGGTTGTTATGTGAATGGTAAACCTTGCACGTTGGAATACCGAGACAGTTTCCACCACATGGAGCTCTACCGGGGTGAGAGTTGCCAAGTGAAGCTACGTTCATTAGTTAGTTGCTCCACCTCCCAGTGCTCAGTTGTTGTTGATATTTATATTTTCTTCTAACTGGTGATGAGAGACTAAATCCATTTATGGTGGAATATTAGGGAAGGAAGGAGGAGAGAACAGGGGGAAGGCACAGAACCCATTAGTAAACCATTTAGGATGACTATCAGCCAAGAGCCATGGCTTTACACGCGGATATCTCCATAAAAGTGTTCTCTCTCTGCAATGTGTGTGTGTGGCAGTTGCTTTAAGTAGAACAGGTGCTTTCCACTTTCTTTTTACTCTTTCAGAAAGTGAGAGTAACTAACAGGCCAAGTAAAGTAAATTTAATGGTAGAGTCACTCAGTTCTTGGACGCCTTTTCAAACCCAGGAAACGAATTATGTTGAGTCCTGGATGACAAGAAAGGTGTGTTAAGTAGTGCTGGTGTTAGGGCCAAGACAGAGCCAACTGTTCTCTCACACACTATAACATAATAATCTACAGACAACATGTAGCTATGGAGGTATAGTTGGGTGAGGTATATAAATAAATTCTGTGGGAAGGTAGCAAAAACTGTTTGGCTTGTGGGTCGGGGTGCAGCGAAGAGCCTGTGACATGAGCGGGCTGGAGAGACAGGAGAAAAATTCTATCCGTGAGTTGGTCAATCAGTCTGTTTTAAAATAAGGATAACGTTTGAAGAAGTTGTCGAGCTTCTTCTTGATAGGCAGACCATCATCAGAACGACGTGCTGTCACAGCTGCTCTCGTCTCCCGCCTGTCTGAGTCTCGACCCGGATGTGTTGTTTTTTTCTTTTTTTTTTGCTTCTTATCATGCTATTGACCTTTTCTCCAATAATAGCCACCTGACGTGACCCAACAGGATCTGATGTTACCTGACACGACCTGACGGGACCTCAATGGACATGATGTGACCTGATGCGAATTATACGTGACCTCCTGGGGAAAAATGACCTGGACATACATTATTTTTGGTGAGTCCTCTGCCTAACGATTCCCTACCGTCCACCTGCTCCTGCCCCCTGCCACCCCTACATCAGGAAGGTGAGGGAGGCAAAGAGGAGGAAAGATACGGAGTGGGGGGAGGGGAAGAGGAAGGTCACGGTTGATGTACATACACGGAAGACATGAATGGAGAAAGGGCGGAAGTAGGAGGGAGCCAGGGAGATGGAGAGAGTGGAGAGAATAGGGAATTGGGGAGATGAGTGAGAGGTGGGATGTACATACACACAGACGGGAATAGAAGGGAAGAAGAGGAGGAAGAGAGAAGAAAGAGGGGGGCTAGGAAAGGAAGAGGGATGGATGAGAGGGAAGGCAAGGAGAAAAGACAAAGAATGGAGGGAGGGAACAGCTGACGAAGTGTTTCCAGGTTTTGGTATGCAAATGAAATAGTGAGACCCGCGAGAGACGAAGACGACCAGTTGCCCATCTGCATGTTGAACTCCTCCTCCTCCTCCCTCTCCTCCTCTTCCCTAACACGTTCTATTCTGCGTCCACCTTTCCTCACTATGCCACTTTCATACCAGCCCCCGTCTTCTTACACCACACGCTGTCTCTCTCTCTCACACATACTCACCCACTCACACCACCCTCTCTCACACACTCACAATTTCCCACTCTTATCCATGAATTCTCTTTCCGATCATTTCCGTTCAATCTTTTTCACGGTCGCACATTTCTAGTCATTCTCCTTTTCACACCATCTCTTTCAAATTCTCCTCTCCCTCTCACCTCCCTCTCACCCTCCAGGATTATTCCACCCTCTTACACTCACTCTCTTGTTCACACCCTTTATGTCCCACTTTTATACACAGAACATAAAGTAGAAAACATTGACTTTTATTATTTTTATTGTCCTTATTTTGGTTTCACTCTTGACGTCAGCTTTGAGAGGAAGAAAGATGACGTCATGCCATTGATCTGTTCTTTGTTCGTAAATAATGGTAATTGGTCGGGACTTAATGGTAGTTGCATAATTTATAAAGATAATAATAATAATTGGTGATGACGATAATAATAGTTGATGATAATAGTAATAATTGATGATAATATGTAATAATAGGTAATAATAATAATAATAATAATAAATGTTAATAATAATACTAATAGTTGATACTAACAGTGATGATAATTATGATGGTAATAATATTAATAGTAGTAATAATGATAATAATAATGTTAATAATGATAATTTTATTTCGTCATAGTAATAACGATAATAACTGATGGATGTAACAGTATTTCCAATAGACTCATAATAAAAATAATAATAGTAACAGTAACATTAGTAATAGTCATGAAAATAGTAATAATAATAAGATAATAATAATAATAGTGATGATGATGATAATAATAATAAAAAAATAATAATAATGATGATGATAATAATAATATATCCTGAGTATAGTATTAATTTTATTAGGAATTATGAAGTCATTGTTCATATTTGGTCATAAGTTTGTGCACAGTTTAAAGGCTACATGATCCTTCCTCAGTCAAGCATTAACAGTACACACTTAATCGCTCATCCATTCACTCACTGATCCATTCACTCACTCACTCAAGCAGTTACAGTACACTCACTCACTCACTTACCTATCTAACCTAACCTGACCTGACCTAACCTGACCTGACTTGACCTTGCCTTACCTTATCTTAGTGTTTGTATTTTGTGTGTGTGTGTGTGTGTGTGTGTGTGTGTGTGTGTATTCGAATTTTGCTTTGTCACAATTCGTCTGAGTGTGTTCGTGCGTCAGTGAAGGTTTAACGAGTAAGTTATCCTACAATCGGCCTAAAGGATTGTAATTAAAATGGACAGTCCAAAGTAGATGAACCATAGTCATTCGCATCAGAGGACAGACCAGTTAACAGGTTGGAGGTCATATATAGAAATGTATATGTGTATAAATATGTATACTTACTCTTACGGTATCATACAAGGTTTTATACCCATGTATCGCATACCAACTGTACACTCCGGCATTAGATTTTTGATGAAACTCTGAAATTCGAAATACGTGTTGTTGTGTTCCTTTACAGAGAGTTATAGTTCATAAAAATCTCAGCCATTAATATAGGTATACAGATGATTATAACACTAGTGATTTGTCGTCCCATATACTGTTAAGGTTTCAGAAGCAGTACCTAACCCTCTCGCCTATGAATCCCTGAATTGTTATCTTACACAACGTTATTTCGGCTCCAGCAGGATCAGTACACGAGGCTTCACCATTTCACGTTGCAGTGGAGTTATTCTTCCCTCCAGTTATTTATCAACATGATGCAACCTTGAAGTTTAATCACCGGCAGGTTGTAATTATAACATTCAACTCGGGAGACAAGATGGAGGGCAATTAGAAGTAGAGAATGGTATAAAATAAATAAATAGATAAATAAATAAATAAGTAAATAAATAAATGATGCGATAAAACAGGAAGAGGGGATGGGGGTGGAGGGGTTCTTTGACAGGACCCGGCCGTACCCAGAACACTTCAGGCATCAGGAAATATGGAATGTTTTTGTTTATTAAATTGACTGTAGAGGGGTAGTGGGGATGGAGGAATGGTGGGGGTGGAGGAGTGGTGAGGATGGGGAGTAGGGGGTGGGGTGGAGGAGTGGTGGGGATGGGGAAATTTGATTAGTGGAGTGAACGTGTAGGAGTGATGGTGGGGAGGTGTTGTAGTGAAGGGGAGTGGAATGATGTTGAAACTGGAGGTATGAGGGGTGAGGGGTTGTGAGGAAGAAGTTAGAGAGAAGGGAGAGAAGGGCTAGTGATTGCCTGGACCCAATTAGGACCGGCTTGAGCGCAATAGGGACAGGGAATTGCTCTAATTAGGAGTCAATCAAGGGGCCTCCTGTCCCCCTCCTGCCTCGTTTGTCTAGGGTGTGATGACCGGCCACTGGCAGACGGACACTGCAGCAGCGGGAAGAGGAGGTAGCCGGGGGTGCAGTGACCATCTCCAGTGCGCAGTGACTTATTAGCGGACAC